TCATTGTAATTTATTGTCGAGGGGAACCCCTTTGCTACACTCTAAATAACAAACCTTTTCATTTTTGGGAGTAGTTGATTTTCGTAGAAACATCTAAATGTTGAAGCTTTAATATCTTGTAATAGTTCAATTTGCTATGGAAGACTACTTTCAATGTTGTGATATTATCTGTTGGTGGTTAATTCTGTGTAGCTATTATGCTCTGTTTATACCTTTCTGCTGTTACTGTGTTTACGTTTAATTTGGCTAGATGACTGCCAGAGATGATGATATTGTTGCACTTGTAAGATTGTCTCAAAACATGTTGAGAGTAGTCCATAGTACTCCAGTTTTAGTATTCTTTTTGAAGCAATAATGTGATTGGGCCTAACAGTTTCCAATACTAACTTACTAAGCAATCATTTATCCCCATAAATTGATGAAAATAAAGTTGTATGTTTCATTGGTCCATGAACAGGTTTAGGGAAATCATGAGATGGGCTGGGCACCAGTGCAAGACTATTCTTACTAATGGACCACTTTCTTCCACGTACAATCAACTTGCTTTTAGTTTCTTCTATATTACACTAAAGTGTTATATCCTTTTACTTATTTATCAAATACCATAAAATAAAATAAGTTTTTTTTAAAAAAAAACCCTTATATTATTTTTGCTAAAGAACACAGCCAGTGTGTTTGGGAAGGGGCCAATTACAGTGGCGGACTCAAGATTTTTGTTCAGGGGGTTCGAAAAATAAAAGTATAAACCTGTAAATAAGCCTTTAGAAATGGGAACCTTGAATTTTGTTGGGTTTAAAACCACACTTTTAGCACGTTTTTTAAAGTAAAAAAATAAACACTTAAAAAAATGAAAAACAGAACTGAAAATTAAAAAAAAAAAAAACAAAAAAAACTGAAACTGAAAAAGAAAAAAACAAAATACTTTCACTAAGATTCGAGCTAGTGATGCACAACTTAATTTCTGGGGAACTTGTCACTGCACCATTAACTTCTCTTTGCTATTTAAGGGGTTCAAAATATATATATATCTACAGAAATACAGAAAATTTACTTTATATATACAGTGTAATTTTTTGTCGAGGGATTCGGGTGAACCCCTAAGACCACGTGGGTCCGCCCCTGGGGCCAAACCTTATAACAAATTAAATTAATTAAAAAGTTGGCAAAATGTGGCATGGGTTGGGTCTAGTCTGATTGACTTGTCAAAACAAAACCAAATAGAAGATTCTAAACGTAGGCCAAAATGTGGAATTTTTTAACAGAAAATTGCAAGTGTCCTACCGTTTACCGCTCATCGTCAACTACACGCTACGTCCACTATTATTTATGGCTTCATATTTCCAATTCAACCAGTAATGATTTGACAATCAATTAATTATGCTGCGTATTGTGAATGGAACGTTAATTGCAAGTAAACACTTTTATTTATTCATTGTAATTTATTGTCGAGGGGAACCCCTTTGCTACACTCTAAATAACAAACCTTTTCATTTTTGGGAGTAGTTGATTTTCGTAGAAACATCTAAATGTTGAAGCTTTAATATCTTGTAATAGTTCAATTTGCTATGGAAGACACACACGAAAGGGGGGGGGGGGGGGGGGGGGTTCAAATCTATTATATATACCTAAAAATAATTTTAACCATGCATAAATAATAAATATTTTCCGCCGAGGGGGTTCGGTTGAACCCCCTAAGTATATGCTGCCTCCGCCCCTTATGTAACTAATGAACATCAAAATGTTAAAAAAAAGTTATATTTTTAATTGTTGAAGTTAATTTTATTAAAAAAAAAATACTAATTGTGTGTTTCGACAAAAGCGATGCAATTGGAAATAAATTTAATGTATTTGGTAAAATAAAAGTGTCGATAAATATTGTTCATGTTAAAATGATTGAAATATCTTTGAAAGACACATATCGATATTATAATACTATAGTTCTATAATTCTAAATTTGAGGTGCTCAACTTACAACCTTTACCCTGACTAAAAGGTGCTTATAAACTAATTTGACTGACTCATAAACTTAACCAAACATTTCTCTAAATTCTTTAATACAAGTTCAAGTTAATTAGCTGATTAAAAGGTGAAATCTTAGAGTAATGGGCAAATAACAAACACAACAAGTTCTTGATTTTCGTAGAAAGATATAAAGAGTTTGAAACCTTCAACAAGCAGACATAAAAAAAGACGTGTGTGTTTTTAGTCGTCAATTACAAGGCACGACTAAACTTACTAAAAGAATCAAACAAATAATTTTTTTTTAATTGGCAAAGAAGAAAAAGAGAGAAAATTAAATAAAAAAATAGTTTAGCAAACGCGTGGGCTCCACTATGTTTACACAAGGACCTTGACCTTTTGAGCTAACAGTCATGAACAATCCCTTCATATTGCATTAACATATAATTCACGCTGAAATCAGAATTTTTATATAAAAGAAAAAACTTTAAATTGCATGTCAAGTAAATTCAACTTCTTGTTTTTGCACAATTCGCATAATATAATTTGTAGACGAAGAGGTTAAATTGAATCTCTTTTCATCTCCGTAGCTCCGCCCTTGAATTTTCAAAATTCATAAACAAAAACAAATAGCAATACAAATACACCACTTACCCAAAAATAAAAAAATAAAAAAGGAACGACCAAACATAAAAAGTAAACGTGTGACCGCATGTCATCTTTGGTTTCTCATTGTCATATTTTCCCTATATATATATATATTCAAGAAACCCCTCTCATATTACAAAACACAATTACTAATTAAACTTCATTTCTTCTTACAACATTTCTCAATTACAACATAAATCCTTGCAAAAACACATTCTTAATAACCAAAAAAACAAAGAAAGAAGAAAAATGGCTTTATCCATGAAACACTCTTCCATTGTTCTTTTCTTTGCTTCCACCCTTTTCCTCCAAGTCGCATTAGGTATGTTCATATTAAATTTATTTTCGTAATTTTGATCATATATATCATGCTCGTTATTAATATGAATTAACATGTATCAGGGAATTTCAATGCACAAAGCTCCAAACATTCAAAATCACATTGAGTCTATTTTACGTAGTGTTATCTTGCATTTTCTCTTTTGAAAAGACTATTTCCAAAGTTTAAATTCATGACCTGATCGCGAAACAACAACTCTTATCATCATGCAAGATTTCCCTTCAATCGATAGGTATATTATGCAGAAGTGTCAAATGAGCAAGTAAAAATGGATTGAGCTAACAAATAGGTGAACTTATAACTCGTTCAAAAGTTACTTGAGCTGAAATAAGCTGGGCCAGATGGGTTAAACAATGAATCATAATCTAACCCACCCAACTATTACCAAGTTAACTTGTTTTTCTTTGTTACGATTATATATAACATATCAAAATCTTGTTACAGGGGAAATCACATGTGAAAACTTGCCAATAAATATTTGTTCATTTTCAATCTCATCATCCGGAAAGAGATGTTTATTAGAGAATTCAGCAAATGAAGATGGAAAATTGGAATATCAATGCAAGACATCAGAAGTTATTGTTGCAAACATAGCAGAGTATATTGAAACAGATGAATGTATTAACTCATGTGGTGTTGACAGAAACTCTGTTGGCATTTCTTCTGATTCTTTACTTGAACCTCAATTTACTGCAAAACTCTGTTCCCCTTCTTGTTATCGCAATTGCCCCAACGTTGTTGATCTTTACTTCAACTTGGCTGCTGGAGAAGGTAAATAATATGATTTGTTTATTTAAATGATTATACACACAATTTTTCTTTCTGTTTTCATTAACGTTACTTTTTTCAATTGAAATTTGCAGGAGTATATTTGCCAGATTTGTGCAGCAAACAGAGGAGCAGCCCACACCGCGCAATGATTGAGTTATTGAGCAGTGGAGCTGCTGCTACTGATGCTTCTGCCCCTATTGCTTCTGAAGATATTATTGTTGGTGCTCCTGATATTTCCCCTGCTTCTTTCTAATTTATGTATATTATGTATACTATATTCTAAAAATTATTTTCCTTGGGAATTTGTTTATGAAAAGGGAGAGGAGAATTTGTTCTTATATTATTAAGATTGTAGTATAGTAAGAAATGGGATTTTGATCCCATTGTTGATTTATTTTTACATAGGATTTATACGAAATTGTTCTTGTGAGAGAATCTGTTTACCAGTTTTTCTTCTGCTGAGACTTTAATAAAATGTTTTTCTTTCTTTACATGTCTCTTATTTTTCAATTTAGTTATACATATATGTATCTCATGTATATGGGGCTAATTTTTTTCAGATATATTATATCCAGTGTGTGATTCGTATTTATCTGGATATACTAACTCTCTCGCTCGCCTTTCTCCCTATGTATCTGTCTATCAGAATGTATTTGATATCAAAGATACATGTATCTGACCTGAAATCTAAAGGAGTGGTGTATGTTACTTGAAATTTGGTATGGAATTATTAATTAGCAAGTCAATATGTAATTATGTCAACCTATAGAGTGAATAAGTATTTAAGCTAGAAATGTTTGTGTAATTACGTAGTTTTTCTCTGATTTAAATCTTAAAATAAGCCCTGTATCTTTCTTTTGTTGCCCCAACATGTAATAGGTTGCTTGACTTGTTAGAGATTCGGTTTATGATATACTTTTGTTTGATTATTATTGTTTTCATCACACTCAACTATGTTGTAGTACTTCTTTTCACATGGGATGCTAAGAATTATATTATTATATCAAAAGAGACAAAGGACTTGGTGTTCGAGTTGTGGGATAATGTGTTTCTAAATGAATCTTAATATGACTCATGATCCTCAAAACAAGCAAATTCTTGAGTTTGGAGTATGTGGAGAGGGTAGAATGTACGCAAATTTTATCACTATCTTGTGGAGGTAGAGAGATTGTTTCTGAATAACTTGAGAAACACAACAGAAATTAATAAATCTACACACATAAGTATACGTAACATAATTTATTGGCACTTGGGAGAACAAAATAACTATGTTAAAACAGCAAAGCCAAACAAGTTGAGATACCATTTCTATTAAACAAATCAAGAACAAAAGGGGCAACAGAGGGCAATCTATAATTCTCCAATGCCTTGACAGAATGTGAGCACAAAATCAAAAGTAATTTAGTTTAGAAATAAACTATTGACATAGTAACAACTTTATATCACAAGCCCTTTAATATAAGAAACTTGAAAAATCAAGTAATGTAAATCTACACACTAGTATTTTAATTTTTGCTCCTTTTGCCTTCCAACTTTGTGGCTTCTTTTAGTGCTTCTTGGGCATCATTCTCCATCCCAAGGGTAAAAAGGGCAACAGACTGAAGATAAAAGGCGGTAGGCCACTCAGAGGATATAACCTGAGCTTGCATTGCATCTCCTAGAGCTTCTTGTGCCATGTCGCTCATCAGATAACACAAGCAGCGCCTGGCGTATATGGTTGGTGACACCATGGTCCCTCCATCATTGAACTGATACAACAATAATAGTATTAATGTAAGACTGTTAAAGGTAGACGTGAATCATTAAGACGATGAACAATTTTAGATGGTCAAACCTGTGTGTAGCATTCAATGGCTGTTATGAAATCCTTGGCTCGGAAAGCAGCATCTCCTTGCTGCTTAGAATTCAAGGTTTCCTGCATCTGATTAGTCCACATTTGGAAAGAAAGCTGCAAACATATCAATGATCAACTTAGGTATAATTGTAGGTAACGAAAGGAGTATTACACAAAGTGTCTCTAATACACAGTAAGAAAGAAGAGCAACAGATCACTCAATTCTTATGCTAAAATTAGCATAACAATAAGTTCATTTTCTCCCTAATCAAATAAATTATTGTTCATGACCATCATATCACTCTATTATTTGCCTTTGCATTGGGAAGACTGAGGTTCAAGTAAATGCCAACACATTACAAACGTATTTGGTAGCAAAGTATATTTGTCATGAGATCTGACAAGCTACAATAGCAATTAAAAGAATACTATTACAGTGTTCAAGCAAAGCAGAGATATTCATTTGGGACAGACGAAATTAAACATACAAGAGGGCGAGGGGGAACTATGAATTTTATAGCCCAAATTTGTTCACTGTAATGAGAAAAACTGTAGGGAAAGTTTTGAGTTAAAATAAAAAAGGGGAGAAATCGAGAATCTTTTTTACACTTAATGGAAAAGAAAGAGAATAGACTGCTGAATAGATGTTATCATGTTTTTAACCGATGGAGTGCTGTACTATGAAAAAGTCACAATATAACATTAGCATATCTTACTTCTAATTATTCCAGTAGTTACTGTCATAACAGTTAACACAAAACATCTTAGAATGCTTACATACCGATGAGAATATTACAAGGGCATGATAGTGATAACATAGGTCCCACTGGAAATGATATTTGATGGAAATAATGCACAAAATCTCTCTAAAAGGGAAAAGAAAGTGGGCTCTTACATGGGAATTATTAGAGTATACACATGATAACAAACTTGAATCACTATTTTTATCCTTTCTGGTTGTGGGGTTGAAAGTCTACCAGAAACAGTCTCTATATTTCTACGAGGTAGGAGTAAGGCTGTGTACACTCTACCCTCCCAAGACCCCACATGTGGGATTATTCTAGGTATGTTGTTGTTGAGGAGGCAGGATTGTATTAATGTATAAATAAAGCTGATGCCAAGGGAATGAAAATATGGAAAAGCAAGATGCAGAAAATGAAATACGTCGATGGTAACTAAGATACCAGTAGAAGAAACATGTTGAGAAAATGGATGTCATTCATACAAAGTGTTCAATGGGAGAGGGAATAAGATTAAGTGTGTGAGATCACGAAAAGAATACTTTAGCAAGAAAGCAGCTTCCGTAGTCTTACTTTTCGAGAAACAAGAGGGACAATGTACATTTGGAAATCATTCATCATCAATAAATAGTAAAGGGACAAACCTCATTGGCAATTCCTTCATCATCCTTGTACCCCGTCTTTTGCAATATCTCATGAAGGGCAGTCAGATCTCTTCTCAAACATGCTTCACCCATTGTTGTCAACACCAATGGTTGGGGTGGGGTTGCAGCTCCATGTCTAATTCCCAGCAAAACATGTGATGGTACCTGGAATTACATCATTAGGAAGTATAAGCATCAAGCATTATTGATACAATAATTATTGTTTTGTTTGATATGGTAAACTTCACCCCACACTCCCCCACCCCACCCCGCACACACAATCTTTTAAAGACGTCAAGACTTTTCTACTTTTTGCCCCTATGTGACTTGAAACACCATTTTCATGCTTGGGGATGGGAGATTTCTTTCCACTAAGCCATCACTCTCTTATCGAGTTGTACGAGACAGTTGAAAAATAAATAAAAGGAAAAAAATCTAGTCAGTTAATTCTGAGGCACATTTTACAAAGATAAATAGAACATGCTTCATATCCAAGAGTCAGAAGATTGTGTTCAATGTCACTCCACAACCATGGATGCACTTTCAAGTTCCATGAATAGTTGACGACATAAACTAGGGTCACAGGAGACACTTCTGTTCTATTGTGAGAACCAACCTCACTGAGAACTCAGACGACCAAATTTTAAGTGTCAAAGTTAAAGGAGAATGTCTATTATACGCTCACTTCTATTTCTATATCATATATGAAAAGAGATTGCAACTCTTCAAATGTTGGAATGATCTCAAAGCAAGTCAAGGGGGATTCGGCAACTTTGATTGTACCTCTGTTTCTTTCTGAATGGCAATAAGAGAATTAACAAGAGATTTTGCATTTGGCCTCTCACGTGCTTCATACTGTAAACAACGGGTGGCAAGCCGCACTAGCTCGGTTCCATCATCATTAGAAAAATCACCCTCCAAACAAGAATCCATCAACATCGACAAATTCTTCACCCGGATCAGATCAAGTGCCTACAGGAAGGTAAAATAAAAGCTTACATTTAGGTACTTTGACAATAGAGTCAATAACGTACACTGTTACATGGATTTCACATTAAGAGATGACATGATTTTCAAGTAAAAGGGTCCAACAATATTTCAAAACTTACATGGCTAGGAGGTATATGTTTTCCACTCAAAAGATCTAGCAACATTGTTCCAAAGCTGTAAACTACACTTTCAGATGTCACTCTTCCTGCCAATCATTAAACTCGTCTCAGTTTTTGCAATAGTTCAATAAAGGCATGAAATCATAATGGTACTAAAGGAAATTGCTGACTGCAAGAAATACATAAATTAACAAAGCAGCACCCTCTCAAAGCTAGTTTTTTGCAGAAAACAACTAAAAGACACCAGGAGTCCACAATATAGAACACTAAGCTGAGTAAATAATAGCTAAGAAAAACAGATAGTTGACCTGTTCTCATGTATTCTGGAGGAGTGAAAGCCAAGTTTGTACTATAACTTTTTCCATCTCTACTGTTCTTCATCAGGCCAAAGCAAGAGAGTCTAGGATTACCATCCTGTAGAATGCAAAACAAAATTACAAAGCCACACAAACAGCAACTTATTAAGGTTAACAAACATGAAGGTAAAACTAACTTTACCTGATCAAATAAGATTCTGTAAGCATTAAGATCATGATATATTGCTCGACCCTTACTGCTGCAGTATTCCACAGCTTGAGCTAAGTAAAAAGCCACCCTCAACCTCATTGCCCACTTCATAGGTTGGCTGTCCCCTATTGCATTTCATAGTAAATCAAATATCAGCATTTACCCTCAACTCATGAACTGATTCATTAGCCTTGTCAAGATATACTACAATTAAGGAAACAGCACATCACAGTCAATCTACCCTTAGAGAACACATTTCTTTAAGCCCATCGCCCATCATATCCCTTAGACTGCTAAATCATGAAATTCTATAATCTAGACCGCATCAGCTTCAAGGAATTATAACATAATGCTCTACACTCCACATTGCAGTTATAAAGATTCAAGTATCGTTTAATCAAGACTTGAGTGAAATCTCACAGTGAAATAAATGCTTTGCAAGGGTCTCATTTGGCATGAACTCAGCCACGAGCAACCTTTGTTCCCCTTCACAGCAACATCCAAGTAGATTCGCCAGTCTCTCACTTCTCAGATTCCCCACCGCTTTAGCCTCATCCTGTGCATTACATAAACAGTGTCCAAAACAAAGCTCAACATACAAACTGGTAGAATAAATTGGATAGATCAAAAAGAAATTGTGTTGACAACGCTTGTACTATGACAAATATGTGCTCTCACTCTCTTTCTCTGAGCATTTAGATAAGGTGGCCATACACAATTCAACATGATTGTATTCCCAGTGGCGGACTTAAGAGTACAGTTTACAGGTTTACAGGAACCAGTAGCTTTTTCTTAGGCCATGTAAATGCATTAAGAAATTCACCAAACATCTATAAATATCTAACCATAAATTTTGCAGTAGGAACACATAGATTTTAAATCTTGGATCTGCCTCTGATTAAAGCAGGCTAAGGTCTAACTTAGTGTCTACTACCACCTATCAAAAACAAATCTTTTCATGTGCACAACAAAGAATTAGCCCCACTTTAAGTAGATAAATGTGTCCCTTTTCTATGATTAACATAATAATTCAATAAAAGAACTAGAGTTTCATCAAAGCTAACCAAGAATTGTCGAGAATCTGGCCAAGCAGACTTATTGAAGCGTTTAACAGCAACCCAATGACCATTCTCCAGCAACCCTTTAAAAACCACATTTGGGGCTTTCTCTCCATGTTCAGACACAATGTTATCCGCAGAAAATCCTTCAGTTGCAATCATCAGCACATCAAGACTGAATTCAGTAAAATCCGGCAACGCGTTTTTCCCATTTTCCCCTCCATTCTCTGCACAGATTACACTAATAAACTAACAAAGCGAACAAGAACAGCAAATGGCATCAACCCATTCAAACAAAATCACATAAAAGAAAGAAAAAATACCCAGATCAGATAAATCATGAGGAGATGGTTTACGGCTTGAATGCCAGCAGCAGAAAGAGAATTTGGAAGAACGACCACCCATTTCAGAGCAAAATTTATCAGATTTCTTCAAAAAAACTTATACCCTCTTCAAGTATCAACAGAACAAAAGGGGGTAAACTGGAGACAGGAAAAAAAAAAGGTGTCTTTTTTATACTATATGGTATATACCAACTTTCTTTCTTAAGGAAAAAGACAATTACTATGTGGGTATCCAAAGAAAGGATTTTTTTAAAAAGCTTTGTAAGCTCTGTTTTGTTGTTTGAAGATTAGAGAAATGGAGAAAAATGGGTTATATGAAAATGGTTGAATGATGAAGAAACAGTGATTTTCATGTGTTTAACTTTTCAGAGAAGATGTGTTTGTGCTGCAAAGGGAATGACCTTTTCTTTCTTCATTTCTACTACTATTCTAGATTACAGAGATATATATATCTATATTTCTCTCTCCATGTCTCTATTTTGTTTTTTTATTTCTATTCTAGTCTTACTTTTCTGCGTTTGAACTTCCTTTTTTGTGCTTACACGGATTTTTTTTTCAATCGGTGTTCAATACTTATATTGGATTCAAACTTGAGATCTCTTGATTAAGGATAAAAGAATACTTATTATTAAGAATGTGTAAAAATCGAACAGATCGATAAACGAATTCAAAAAGAGTTTTATTAATTTATTGCTATTGGGTTATTGGGTTAACTATTTTTTAATGGTTTTATAAAAAAAAAATTATCAGGTTATCGGTTCGGTATTAGTTTTTAATAATGGGATATTGAGTAAGCCGATAACTCATTAAGACTATAGTAATTTACTACTTTTATCTATACATAAATATTAAATATTAATCTCAATGTCTTTGGCATTTAGCCTTCACTGTGACTTTGAGTTCACAACTCCACATTATACAAACCGTCAAAACTCAAAATTTAAAGTAAGAACTTTATTCCTCTTAATTTCTATTATTGTCTTGTCACGAAAACTTTATTAGATAAATCATATATTTATTTGATAAACATTTTCTTATTGGTTAAACCAAAAATGGAAAATCGATAAAAAATATCATATTGATTTAATGTATTTAAAAATCGAAAACTGATAAATATAAAACTAAACCGATTAATGCAAACCCCACTTGTTACTTTACTACGACCCTTGGTGTAGCTTACACAGTATTGCTCTTTGATTTCTCTTCCTACTCACTTTCCTAAAATAAAAAAATGTTTCAATAATTTTCCTTAACTAAATTATGACTTTTAGTTTTAAGTTAAATTGTTAAGTTTTTGATAGAGAAAATGATATCAGATTCACAAGATCTGACAAAATGACTGTAAAAAATTACTTTCTGATTCAAAATATATGATGTTTTTAGCTGGGCCAATTTTTAAAAAAGGAAAAAGGTAAATATTTCTCTTAATTTTGTGATTTAGAGCATATATATTTATTATTAAAAAAATTAGGCATATATTGATATCGTTTAATAAATGATGAATATTTACCTTTTTCATTAGTATATATCTATATTTACTTAATTAAAAAAATGATAATATTCCTTTTTAAATTTCAAAAATATCACGTGGCTTTCAAAAATTATTTCACCCCTTTTTTACACTTCTAGACCCGACTTGAAAACGAAAAATCAATTCCTCTACTAAGTTATAAAATGATTTTGGATATGGTTTGAATAGATGAAAAAATATCTTTCTTAATTGGGTCAAGCTTGAGTGCGAAAAAAAATGAATGAGGTAATTTTTTTAATTTAACGAGGGTTATATTTGGTTTAGTGTATTTTTTTATTTTGAAAACTCAAGTAACCCGCTGTCGTTATAATCTCTATTATAGTCTAAAAAAAATATCAAAAGGGAATCAATTCTGAATCTATGTGAATGACCTCCTTTAAACTAATTGAGTCATCCTGAAGTACATCTAGTGCATCTTAACATAATGATGTCCGATTAATCTTCTATTTAAATAAAAAGGAGAATGTCCTAGGTGATCTCTAAATTCCTTGTTAATTCATTGCTATAAAAAAAATTAGAACCTAGGATTGAGTCTCAAGGTGAATAATATCACCTTGACTATGATTTAGTAATAAAATATGTATATAAAAAGTTACATGGCTTATTTTTATTGATTTAATATAAACATTTTTATGCGAATATATTTTTGTTGAATAAACCTGAATGGTTTTAACCAAAACTCAAAAGAATGCTTCTAATATTTGTTAATTGCTATTTGATATCTAAAATCTTCATTTTGCATTCAAATAACAAAAAAATTATCGACAAACTCAAAACTTGAGATCTCATATCAATTTGAATTGGGAAGTTCATACTACGCATTTTATTTCGCAAAAAGTGAAGTTTCTTGATGTAAATTTCAATTCATTGGACTTCAAAACTAGTATTAATAAGAGCCCCATTGAACTGGATGTGAAATCAAATTAATCTGAAGTTAAAGTTTGTTTGAATACGCAATTTAGAATATTTTAAGAGGTCACATTAATAAATTGCATATCTCCATATTGTCTTTATAAATATAAATCATAAAATCTCAAATTACATATTAATTTAAAATAATAATTTCATATCGGATATCCAAACGTCAGATCAAAAAAGTGTTACAGCGCAGGGGTTAATCCAATAAAAGTAGCTTCCAAAGGATAAAAGCCAATGGATTTGATTTAGACGCATGAAATGTTCATGCAATTCTAGGTGAAGTATCACCAATTAGAATTTGGTCAATATTATTTTTTATGAACCAAGTTTTAGACCATGTCAAGTCAAGTCATTTTCATTTTTTTATTCAATTTAGCCAATGGATAACTTCATATCTTCCACTATATATTAAAAGAAAATTATTACTTTTATTCCATTATGAATCTTGAATTCAAAAAGTACCTAATTTTTTTTTAAAAAAATAAAATAGTGACTTGACCTAGTCAGTATATAGGAGGAAAATGCTAAGATTGGAGCTGGCAAATCCAATTCATAGTATATTATATTTGAAATAATTAATTAGAAGGTGTTGCATCACTGAATCTTGGGCTAGTAGTAATTTTAATAATTTTATTGATAAATAAGGTATCTCAAAATTAATAATGATTATATTATTATTTATTACAATTAGTAAATGTGCATGCGCTTCGCGCGGTTAGAACATTCTTTTTTAAAATTTATTAGAATAGAACTTTTCTGGTATTTTAATGTGAGTATTTTAATATAAATTTATTTTTAAGAGCAAAGAGGTTATTCAATTGTAGTTTACCATTTCTTTTATTAAAAGAACGGGTAAAATTACAAATCATAACACTATTTTCTCCTAATTTACATAATTTCATTTTACAGATTCATTAATTTGTTTTTGAAATTTTACAATGGTTAGTTTATTTTTATCATCTATATGCGTGGTTATATAGTGTCTTTAATTAGAGAGTTAAATAAAAAAAATTCTCAATTTTCTTCTTTGCAAATTTCGTTAGTATAACACTATCAATTATTTTCAAAATATTAAATATTTTTTAAATATATATATATAACTAATGTGTTTATCAAGAGCAAAGGTTCCATAATCATATGATATACCAATATGTAATATGTAGTCATTATGTGTTTTAAAATTAAAATGCAATCTTCAAAAATCTAAATTTCATATGTAATATAGTTATGATAATGTTTTGGAATTGATGTTGTGCACAAACAAAATATAAAGGATCCTTGAAAAGGGTAAAAGAGAAGTTAGGGATAATGGGAAAAAAATTCAAAAAGGTACTTTGGTCCGAGAGAATAGTGATCATTGCGTATCATATAATTGTAATAAATTGCTAGTTTTAATTCTATCATTTGACTTTCTATTTTTTTTACTCCTGTTAATATTAACATTATTATGACAACAACAAAAAAATCATATAAATTTTTAGGCTTGATCTTTTGGAGAAGAAAAGATGTCTTTGGAGATTGTTGTAAAAAAATGTATTTTGTGAATCTGCAGTAGTTGGATTTACATAGAGTTTGTACTAACAAATACTTATAACAATAACTGTGAAGAAACATAAACAACAAAGTTTAAAATATGTACTCAAAAATAACAATTAATATCATAAGCATAAATTAATGACCGTAAAAAAAATTCCAGGATCTGTAACAATAGAATGAAACAGAAAGAAAAAAATCGAGCCCACTGAATGCAGAGTGTCTCCTTAAGGAAATTATTCTCCTCTAGTACTCGAGGTTTAAAGAAATAGGTCCTCTCAGGATGAAACAATTTTATTCACCAGTGTTATGATATAAAAATAATGGTGTCAGTGAGCCACTCAACATGAGCAAAGTACACAAATATTTAATTGTGCGGAAGAAGAAGAAAAAGAAGTTCAAAATTTTCATTATTTTAAAATGAGAGGAACCCCCTCTATTTATAGACAACAAAGTGTAGTGTGAACAAATGTTTATTGTGTCTTATTGGAAAGGTCACAACTCTTTGGAAAAGTTACAGCTCTTCGGAAATGTCACAAACTTTCATAAATGTTACAACATTTCATAAAAGTCACAACTTTTTATTAAAATCACAATTTTTCATAAAAGTCACAACTTTTCATGAAAGGTGAAAGCTAGTTTTGGAAATAAATAAATTAAGAGGGAATCCTTGTTTGTGATAGCGCCACATAGGCGGGTCTAAGGTTCTCTTTATATATATATATATATGATATATGATTATATGAATATATTCATATTAGCATATGTTTAGTTCATTGAACTAAAAATAAAATATACAAGGTATATAAAATATACCATATATTTTGGTTTAAACTAGATCATAAATCGCGATAAACTTTTATTTCAATGTTCACCTCATCTAAATATCTTAAAAGGACCTTAGAAGAAAAGTTTTGGAGAAGGCAAATGTGTTGTCTTGATGTTTAACTAACCATGATTGGTATTCATAATTATGGACTATGATATAAATAATCCCGAAATTGTTAATCTCAGAATTACTATAAGTTACTATCCTAAATTGAATTCTAAAATTATATGTAATCCTTTTATCCCTCGAACCAAACGATTACAAATCCCTCAAATTTGGACCTAATAATGAATTGGGACCAAATGAATGATGATCAACATCACTAAAAGAAACAAGTAGGTCCATTATGTTTATAATGTGTAGCACCACAAAGGTGTCAAGAGGACCCCTTCAATAACAGTATATATAGACTTAATAACAGTAAGAATAGTGATTGTTAGACAGACAAACATACCCTAATTATGACATTATCCATACTCAATATCTCACTCACAAACATGTTGCCTGTCAAATGTATCAACAATAGTTGCATAACTAGCTGTTGACAGCCTATCTATCACTAACTACAACTTATACAGATTTTTTCTATTGTGAATCTCTATTATAAAACAAGACTTCTCTATTTACTTTTCATCAAACCAGCTCATTGAAAAAACGCAGGGTGAAAAAGTGATTCTTACTAAAATACTGAGATAGTTTTTTTTTCATCGATTTAATCAAAATATTTATAGAAATAGTCACGGAAGACCTACTCCACTCAAGATATGTACCAATTAGGTACTTGTCATTGACATGATGCCATAATGTGTCCTACATTGATTTTTGTCAAATTTGTGTTCAATAGAAATAACTTTATGGTATTTAATAAATATTAGTTATAAGATTGGGAATAAAAAAATCAGCTAGCAATGACAAAAAAAAAAGGTACACATGAAGGTGGCATAACCTTTGCTCATAAACTAAACAAATAATTCTACTTTGATTGGAAGTAATATTTCCCCAAATTATTATAATATATACAAATCCTTAACTCATTAATCAAAAGATGAATTACCAGAATTGTCATTATAACGAACCATATATAATAGTATCAGGTTTTACTATATAAAACAAGATAATAGTTTTGGGATAAAAAATTAGTACTATCTTATTCGTTGTTTGGTTCCTGATTTTGGGATAAATTATACTAGGACTAGTAATTGGTAGAACAATACTACCATATTAGTTATCCCATGATAAAATAATTAAAATGACAAAAATACCCCAAATGAAGGGGCTATTTAGGTGCAATCTCTATCTTCATCTGCAGCAAACATGTAAATGGGGCCATACATAAAGAAATTTACTATTTATGAATACATAGTGGTTCTTGATGTTAGTGCAACTAAATAATCATAACGATAACTACGCCTCAGTCCCAAAGGACCATCGCAAAACTTGTAAATTCATCATGAATGCTTATAACAACGGACATCTTTACATATTTCACATTTCTCTTCGACCCTTTTAAGAAATGAACACGTGTACTAAAAATTTGGTGAGCACAACTAGAAAATAATTGCATTATCGGAAGAAAAATCGAATTCCATGATACATTGAAGCCACGAAAGTTAAGCTTAGGGACGGACCATAGAGGCATTCAAAGCATATCATCTAGATTTCGTATCCTACACTACAGACCAAAACTATTGAACTTGGAAGATCACCTCGAATGAGTTGTGGAACATGCACCAACTTTAGTGACATTGAACAGCAGTGCGTCAACCAGGTTCAGTTAGTTGCGTTCTATGCATTTTACTGTCTATACACCATTCATCGCTGCTTCAACATGGACTGCGTTACCATCTTCCATGATCATCCCGTTGATTTGGGTTCTAGGCCTCTATAAACAATGAAGAAAGCAATTTCATTAGCTACAGATGATGTCTAACTGGAAAAGAAATGGGTAAATCTCCATACCCAATCTTCAGGATCTGCGTTTCCATTCAGAAGTTTGTGATTCTCTTCTTTAGTCTTGCTATCCTTGCTTACCGGTAGCAATGAGGCTGCACTGGTGCGGTCAGGCAGTTCTGCAAGAAACAGCTCATACTTCAGCTTTTCCCTACCCTTCTCTTTTGAGTGTTAATAAGAGGTAGATAAAGCCAGATCAAAGAATTTGTTCGAAGGGAAGTTTAAAACTGAATGCCTAACCTGGTAATTTTTTGTCAACGAAGAACACTACTAGATTAACAGTGTACCTGTAGGAAAACAGTAGGGCAAATACGTTAGTCATTTGAGAATATTATGCAAGACAGCACCTCAAGCCGAAAAAACGAACTCACCATGCCACAACAACGTCTACAGTGTAATGTTTACGCGATGCAACAATTAAAAAGCTCTGAGCAATAACAGCTAGCCAAGCACATTGCTTTATAAACCTGCAGAATCAAATTAAACATTCAGTGACAAGTTCAGACTGCGCTGGAAAAACAAAATATTCATTCTCTTCTTTAATATCAGATTTAATTAAAAAGATTAGTGATATTATGTGTAGGAGTTAGGACTGATCTAAAAAGCTTTATCCCCAACATCATCTATAATATCACTTGCACAGTCGCATTCACCAGTTGTAAAGCTAAATTTGGACTCCTACTCATAAAAGAACAACATAGTAATATCAAAGCAATTATATTACCTTCGTGTGCCATATTTCTGATACGTCCGCACAAAGACTAGGGAGAATATCATATGCGATGAAAATATCAAATCACCACAACCATAAAGTAAGCCCCGAGGAACTGCCATAAAGATCATTTAAGCACCAAAGATAAACAACCCAAAGACCGAAAATGCTATAAATGTAAACGTGAATGCAACTTACAATTAAGTAGTAGAACTTCTAAAACACTATCAGGCCGAGGAAGTGTGGCAAGCTTTGAACCCTGGAAATTGCAAAATAAACTGTAAGGTGATGCACAACGCATAGACACCACTAACCAACCGCAAACCAATAAATCATCAATTGAACCATTTCTACCTCACGACAGTGATAATTTGGACCAGGAAGCTGTGTAGAATAGAATGTCATCATCCGAAGAAATTGACAAGCCTGTACCAAACAATTATTTAACAAATTACAAGATAGAATACATCAGTCGAGGTTCTCTCTAAATGTCGGAAGCAACGAACAAACATACGTATTTTATCGGAAGAGAACAGAAAGTCATCTTTTGCCCAACATAAACCATATATATAATAATGATGAAAGAAACTACTCTAATTGAAAATTGACTTATGAAACAAAAGGAAGGTGAAATATAAGAAACAGGGCACTTACAACTAAGAATGCCAGGACCCTGCACCATATCAGAACTGTATAGATCTTTTTGGTCTTGAAAATGAAAGGATGGAATGTCCACTGCGGTAAAAGATGAGTAACAATTAGATCAATAACACACAAAAATTCACTTCATAGGTAAATAAATAAACTATAAACGTTAAGACAAGATAGTGAGGATTATGAAAGTCAATGTGGCACCACGTTATAATTTCTAGAGTCTTATGTCCAGGCTTTCCCTATTTTTAAAACCTAAAGTTAGCTTGGCCCCACAGTTTGCCTTGAACATATTCAAGTACGCGTAAAAAGTTTATAACTAACAAAAAGAGGGAACAAAGAGACTCAGTGTTAGCTAGTGATGGAAAGATTTATGTGAAAAACAACTCACCAAGACGAAAGATAGAAAAATGGTAGTGAATACAGTTTCGCTTATATAAGCATTGTCTGACCCAAGCTCCTGGAAGTTTACAAGGAAAGAAGAAGAAGAAAATAAGAATACACCTCTTCCAAGATAGCGGACAGATATAGAAAAACAATCAATAAAACTAACCGGAAGAAGAAAGTAGCCAGCGTCCTGAAGAGTTGGTCCAGGTCGATGTAAGTAATGAACCCCACGAGCACCAAGTCCATGGATGTACTGAAGAAAGGAGACAGATAAACTCCATAACTCTAACTCATGTATCTAAATTAACAATGATCAAAAGTAGAAACTCAATTTTAGAACGTCTTTTTCCCTACAATGTGTGATGCCCAAGCAAACATGCCCCTCGGCCTGATGGCTTCGTGCACAACTTGGTGATACATCATATAGTAGTCAACGACACTACTCAATGGCAGCAAAAAGTGTACGTAAGAAATGTAAAACCACAAATTGTTACACGAAATGAAAAAGAAAGCAAAATTCGATGTCTCTCAATCTCTCCTCGCCCGCAACTTGATGAGTAATATTTTGCTACTTATGCAAGTCAATACTAGATAAGCTACACTTAGCAGAAAGAAAACAGAGAAAATCGTAGTCATCTTAATTTTTAGGCTAATATACACCATTATAGATGGATATTCTTAATCCATAAAAGGCAGACATTAACTCTCCACAAAGTTACAACTACATCAATTAATCAGAAAATACTATTTCCTGCATTTGGCCAACCAGGTACCCCGGTAAAATCATTCGACAATCTAATAAAAAATTTCCACTGTAACAAAACAGCATAATGCATACATATGTCCTTTTAACTTAGCCATGCCCTACAACTTTGGGTGTGCACAAGTAGGCACTTATCCTTGTATAAAGTTGAACAAGTAAACACACACCTCCTACATGGCATAATATACCAGGACGCCATGTAGGATGCGTGTAGGATGTGAATTGCCATATAGGGCGCCAAGTAGAAGGAGTGTATCTACTTGTTCAACTCAATAAAAGTTTAAGTGTATACGCACACTAAAGTTGGAGGCCATATATGTCAAATGAGCCAGTTAAAAGGGCACGTTAATGTATTATACCAAACAAAAACAACACACACCCAATTAATAAAGGCTATATCCTTTTCCATTCCCAAAACTAGTAGCATTTGTTCCAAAGCTTTGAAGATTAAAAAAAAAAAAAAAGTTCAGCTTTTGCCAAAAACTGTAAGAAAAGCGTTTCTCCTACGTGTTTTCAGTTGTTGCAAATCTGAAGAACTTCTCATTCTGTGCAACAAAAGTTGATGAAAAGGAAGAAAGAAATAGAAACCTGAAATATTAATCCACCAAGAATATATTTCCAATTTTCGGCAAGAAGATTAATCTCTGTTGTTGTCTCTGCACAAATTCTCCTCCACAGCTACTCTCCATAACAACAACCATTATCATCACAATTAAATAACCAAAAGCAGAACATAAAAAAACAACACATTATTTTCTTATCTCCACAAAACAAAATTTCATGAGGAAAAAACCAACCTTTGGAGCCTCATGACCAATATAAAACGACATCTTTTTTTCTTTCTTTTTCGTATTTACATTATAATAAACCAACTTTAAATATCAACATCCTTCATCCTAAAATCCCAAAATTCCCGATTTTGAAAACAACCCAATTCCCCAAATTGAGTTTGGAGAGGAAAAAAAAAACAAATTTTCAACAGGCAATGAAGTTGAAGGAAAATCAGTCTAGCAGGAAGATTTTTTTTTTCTGTAAAAAATTTCCTGCAGATTGATTTTCCTTTTGTGTGTCAATTGGTAATGCTACTTTGAAATTAAGTTTCTCTCTCCATTATGGTATGTCTGCCAAGGAGTTGAACACGGAGCGACAGTTCAGAAAAACGGTGGATTTTTTTTTTGCTTTACACAGCTTTTGAGAGAAAGATGCTTGATATCAAAATCCCCCTAAACACTCTACTAAAACACGACGAAATTACAGATTCCTCAAAATGACATCCAAAATTATTCGAGTCCGAATTGAAGCCCCAATTAAATTTAGGTTGAACCGTTTATTTAGGAGGATACTTTCAATAGGATTCTCTTTCAAGTTCAAATTTGAGACTTATGATTAAAGGTGGAGTAGTACATCCAAAATTAATTCAGGCACTTATTTTTTTATGTCAATCTAAAATAGTTTATTGTCTTATAATTTTAATATATTATTTTTAAAAGTTGTCTGTTAAATAACCTCATATAAATTGAGACGAAGAAATAATTAAGGTGAACATGCTTGACTTTTAAGTTTGTCGGTAATTTTTATTTAGACACTTGAATTATAACATGTTTCAATTGAGGACTTGAACGAATGATAATGTACTTCTATAGACATTTTCGCCTCAAATATTTGGAAACACTCGTAATGTAAATAAGATAATAACTTATGAATTGTTTGGTATGTCAGATGAAATAAGTAAGAATATATAATGGGATTATTTGATTTCACAGTGTCTTTATTTTAGTACAAATAATGAGATAAAATACTTTTAAAATTAGTTAATACCTCAAATCAAATATAGAATAAAGTTAATATCAGGAGATTATTATTCTTATTCCACTTAACAAACGACTCATTAAAGTTTGTTACCTCACTTAGTTATACACATTAATTAAGGGCAAAATGAAAACTCGCATGACAATCTAGTTATGATTGATGTATATAACTAAAGAAAGCAAGCACATTTTGTTGGCTAACTTATTTAACTTACAAGTATTTGATCACGATAAAATATCTAATAAAAATATTTCTATTATGTCAAATATTTAATTAAAATAAATTATAATTTAGGTATTCAAATAAATTTTTACTGATAAATTTAACTTATTTAAGGATATGTAGTTTTTTTTTATTTCCCACCCGGTGTCCGAAGTCCACATTGGAGCTTCGACTAAATTCGAATCGCGCTCTGCAGGGCCCATTCGGGGGTGGCGCTCCCAACAGGATTTTCTCCATACCCAAGGCTCGAACCCGAGACCGCTGGTTAAGGGTGAAACACTCCTACCAGTGCACCACAACCATGTTGGTAAGGATATGTAGTTGATATTATACTCGATCGAGTAATTAATAACACTATAAAAGAGATGGCAAATGCCAAATGATGACAAAGACGATCTAAGTAAGCAAAACTTCGAGATATCTCACCTAATTAATAACACTACAAAAGAGATGACAAAAGCTAAATATATGTAATGAATTTATTAATATAAATATATTATTTAATTAAAATTTAATGAATTCAATCGAACTCACATACAATTACTAGACATGGAACTAATCATCAAACGGAAAGTTCTGTTATTACCTACTTATAAAGTTATATTTATGATTTTATAAAGGGAAATAGTGAAAAATATAATTTAAATTACGTTATTAAATGTTTTTCTTAATATGTTTAGTTGTGTACATTATCAGGGGCGGATTTATGTACATGTAAGGTGTGTCACGTGACACGACATCGTTGATTTTTTTTACGATATATACCTATATAAAAAATAAAAAAAAAACATTAAAAGGTAAAAACAATTAAAAGGACACCCCTTACACGAGAATGCTCCCAGTGCAGATGGTAGAGGTGCCGCATTGAGTGTGTTGCGTCCCGAGTTTGATTCCCTGGTATGTGTTTTTTTGCGTTTTTTCACGTTTTTTTCCCTTCTCTCTTAATTTTTGCCTTTTCCCCCCGTTTTAGAATTTTTTGCTTTTACAATTTTTTGTTTTAAATTCAAAACAGTAGGAAGATCCCTTCATTAAAAACCTACCAATCCACTCTAATTCATTCAAAATCTAATTACTCTTTTTTATTTTTAGAATTAAAATAAAACGCAAAATCTTTGAGTCCTTTATCGATTAGAATTATAGTTGAATAAAAATAGTATTGACTCCTTAAATCCTTATATATATATATATATATATTTACTTCTAAGTTTCTTCAAATTTCGTTCCGTTCTTGTTCATCCATTATCGTTATTCGGCATCTCGAATCTCCATATCATGTTAGTATTATTTTGCTATTCTATTTATTTGATTATGTGATTGAATTTTTATTTTTACTTGTTCATAATATTTATTTTATTTTTTTATTTGCAATCCTCTATTATTTGATCCTCAATAACTAATTGTGCATATTACATCATATTGTTCTAAATTTTGTGCAGTAATGGAGATCTATTATTCTAAGAAAAATTACAAACGTCAATTTATATATATTATTTAGTTGTGTTTCTAATGAGGATATTATGTATACCTTTCAAAATATGAAATCTCGTCGGAGAGAACGATAGTAATGTACTTGAATATCTTTATTAATATGATATCAACCATCTTTTTCTAATATAATATTATTACAGTAATTTGTTCAAAATTTTTGAATTATTAACAAAGGTTATCCAATAAAATTAGTGGTCTAAAATTAAATATAAGGCCCTGTAACTTCTTCTTTTTTCATTTTCTTTTAAAGATGTTAATCTTTTATTTGCAATACAACCATTTTAATAATGTTGTATAAAATTTTATTTAATAATATGAAGATGTGAGTGATTTAATTTAAAATTCTATAATACTATCTATTTAAAGAATAGACAACTTTTTGAAAAATTTTAATTTAATCAAAATTTTATATTTTTAAGATTTTTTTTTCTTCTTAAAGTTCACTATTAACGGGCCTCAAATTTTTGGAGGTCTAAAGCAAAAGTTTCATTGATTTTCTACTTGAGCCATTTTTGTTTCTTAAATGGTGACACCGCTTTGAAAAAATCTTGCGTACGCCACTGTACATTATCAAACAATTTCAGTTAATATAGAATAGAGTCCGTAGTATATTAGTGTTGGAAATATGATTTCGAAGAATATGAAGTCACGAGGGTCCTGGCACGATATCTAGAATCATCAATAATAACAAATCCTAAATGAATGGGTTGTTTGGCATGAAGAATAATACCAAATAGTCTTGGAATTGAATTATAATGCTATTTAATTTGTTGTTTGGTTGTCAAGTTTGGAATAACTTATTTCAAGATTAATAATTAGTACCGAAATAATTTATCTCTCTCTTTGGGTGGTATAGTAATCCGGGATAAAAGTAATAAATGACAAAAATATCCTTTTTATACATCACTTTTCCAGGGACGACTCCACAAGATTGGAGACTTAAAGTGAAACTTAAGAGAGGGGCCCTAATATTTTATTTTCTTTATCATATATATATATATATACTTTTATTTAAAATCTACTTTTCTAGCTTTTTTAGATGCGAAGTCATTAATTACTGTTTTAGGATCGATTTGTTTTAATAATTCCTTTGTGATTCTTCAAATGACTTTGTGATTTCATTATCAGTACTTTCATCAAATTGTCTCTTACGAAATTCAGGTTCTATATTTACTCATATGCAATTTCCTTTAGTAGAAATCATAACATTCATGTTGTAGTTTTTTGTTAAAAAAAACTACATATATAAGTAATTCTTTTTCTTAAAAATGGGATCCTCCAGAAATATGAGGCCCCAAACGATCGCTTTAGTGGCCTAGGGGTTAAGACGAACCTGCACTTTTCACATTCATGAAGGGTGTTATTGTAAACAAATAGATTGTTCTTAAAATATATTATTTTAAATACAACAAATAAAATACTCAATAAATATAATTTGCATAACTTATTTTATCATAACTAATCTCATCATAACGTAAATTCAAACCAAACGAACTCCAAAAACTATACTTTTGCTATTTTAGAAATTTTAAACAACAAAAGCAGCAAAATCTTTGGGAAATCCATCTATAAATTCTACACAACCTCTAGCTAGGCAAGTACGAAACTCATTCATTCATACAGAAAACTGAACAAAAATGGGGTCTACATAGAAATAATTTCTTTCCTTTTTTGGGAAAGCATTATTATTTGGACCTGTTTCAACGTGTAGTGTTAAAATATTGCTAAAAAATCCTCGATTTAAATATAACAAATTCAAGTAAAAAAGGAAAAAAGCACTGTAGAAACTATAAAAAGAGAACAATAATAACGAGGACCTATTACCTCCCTAGACTATTTAATACCGTATTTTTTACCCCATGAACTATTTAATAGTGTATTTTAAAGGTATATATGTGCCCACGTGGACACATTACTATTTATAATTTTGCATTATTTTTTATGTCCACGTGGACAAATATATATGTTTAAAATACGGTATTAAATAGTCTAGGGAGGTAATAGGTCCTCATGAAAGTTTAGTATCGCAACAGCAAATCCGACCAAAGTTGAGGTATTTTTCAGACCCTTATCCCTAACAATAACAAAATAATGTGATAAATAATAATTGAAACAACATATGATGATAGATATATAAAAGGCATAATACATAAATATGCCCTTTAACTTGGTATCAAATCACATTGATGCCCTTCAACTTTGGGTGGGCACAAGTAAACACTTAAACTTGTATAAAATTGAACAAATAGACACACATGTCCTACATGTCATTTTTTGTCCTACGTGTATTGTGTCACGTAGGACTCATGTGTTTACTTGTTAACTTTATACAAGTTTAAGTGTCTACTTGTACATATCCAAAGTTTGAGGACATAAACGTAAAATGAAGCCAAGTTAAAGGGCACTTTTATGTGTTACGCCTATATAAAATAAGTACTACAATAAGATTGCGGTTAGTATTATGACAGACATTAACAATTCTAAATTTTCGAAAAGCAAGACAACACTCCATTACCTTCTAGTTATTTTACCCTAATACACAAAAAAAACTCCAAAAAATCATTTACACAATTTTCACTCACAAAAATCTAAAAGTGACTCTGACATATATTCATGTTCAAATACAACTTTAATTTGTAAAAATTA